GGTTCCAGCGGGACAGCGGAGGATTCGTCTTTTGGGGTGCTCGGAGCGCTACCAGGGAGGCCTAAGCTAATTATAATACTAATTCCGGACTAGTAGTCTGGAAGTATGGAGGTGGGTCCCATAGGTCAGTGTATCAGCGTAGTGCATGGTCAGTTAGCAGTCCAATATTACTATGTAACTAACAATTTTTATAATAGTTAATTAGTCACCTTCAAGCACTGAAAAGGCCTTTCGCCCATCGGTGGGGTTGGTCATTATTGGGTTCCCAACGGCATGGCTTTTTCCACGGATTTAAAAGAGAGGCACTAACGACACAAGCTCTAAGAGCAGGTCCAGCAAGCTCCGAACTCGGCTCTGAAGGCTGACGTGGCAATGGTTGTTGCCAATCCCCCCTCCAGCAAGCTCTGAAGCCGCTCCCAAGGCCGCTCTCCGTTCCTACGTGGCGATGGCTTCCTTCAGAGCTCCCAAGCGCTCCACAAATTTGTGGAGCGCTTGGGAGCTCTGAAGGAAGCCATCGCCACGTAGGAACGGAGAGCGGCCTTGGGAGCGGCTTCAGAGCTTGCTGGAGGGGGGATTGGCAACAACCATCGCCACGTCAGCCTTCAGAGCCGAGTTCGGAGCTTGCTGGACCTGCTCTAAAAGCATGTTTCACTTCATGGAAAAACATGATAGAAAATTGTGCTCATTAACATGCTCAAGGATTGTCGCTGTTATACTCTCTCAAAAAACACCGAATAGCGTTAATTATAATAATTAGAATAGCGAAGGAAAAGGAAGTTACACAAAGTTGTATCTTATTTATCTTTATAAACCTTCAGCGTAAATATACAAGCATTTTTAAACAATTAGAATAGCGAAGGGAAAGGATGTTACACAAATTTGTATCCTAATTGATCTTTGATGAACAGAAACAATCAGATAGATCACTTCAACCCCTATGTCTTGGACTGTAGCCTAACCTTTTAGTTTCAAAATAGAAAATAAATTGGAGTGCAGATTTTGCTCATGGAAAATAAATATGTACACTTTCAGGATAGTCCAATTAAATCCTTTTTTATCTGCGCGGAATTGATAATCTAGGCTGTATAATTATCATTTCTAATTACTTGTTTTGTAATTTTATATTTCGATATTAGTCTCATTTTGAAGGTATTGACGAGACATTTCCAATGATATTATTTTTATTAAAAAATATTTAATATATTAATATATATATATATACAGATTTTAAGTAAGTAAAAAAAATAATAGGATACAGTGGGAATAATAAAATGTTGTTAAGAAGATTTGAGGGTTAATATTGTCTTTTTTGGGGGGAATAGTAAAATAGAGGAGGCTGCATATTTGGAGAAAAAACTCCAAATATGCAGCTGGTGGGTTGAGTTTGCAGCCGAGCTCCAAAATTTGGAGCTCGGTTGGAGTGTCACCGGGCTGCATTTTGGAGAAATGCAGCCCGGTTGGAGGTGCTCTAACGTATTCTTAACCATACCACCTCTCTTTCTACAGTACACGAGACCCACATGAGATTTTAAAAATTAAAATCTCATGTGACCCCGTGCACTGTAATAAGAGAGGTGGTATGGTTAAGAGTGTGGTAGAGAATGTGCCCCTGTCATTATTTTTTATTAAAGGAGTCTTGCGTGGGAAAGGCAGAGTCTGCAAGTATATTTTGGATATTTTTTGTGCTGTAGAGTAATAGCACTTGGATTAATATACTAGTCTCTAATTCTTCACGTTTTATTCCAATCTAAGAATAGACAGCCCTACATTATATCCTACGTGAAATCGACGGACTGATTTTATTTTTCTCCCCTTTTTTTCCCGTGAGCCTAATAGCTGTGTAAATAGTCTCATGGTTGATCCTATAGCTACAGAGGATTGGGCAATTTTTATAGTTTAAGTGGATGTTATAAAACAATAGTAAAAATACCAAATATTATTTAGTGCGAATAATCACGGTTTAGTACCAGCCCAATAAATCATGGAGTCTAGGGCTCCTCTATTTATCGTTCAAATCTAGGTGAATGACACAAGTGTTGTAAATAAGTAATGATTAGAATTGAGGTAGACATTATCAATAAACACGCATCGACCATTGACCTCCTGAGCTGAGGTCCGGAGCTTCAACCCTAAGCCGCTTGTGGGGTGAGGATTACTTGCCAACTTTAGGGGTATGGCTATCTAATACATTCCCTTATCTTATCATAAGTGCTAAAAGTAGATCATGGGATGCAGATTCATGTCATTTTTTTTTACAACTTACCTACAAGAAAAAGAAAATTCTTCCACATCTATTGTTTATTTCTTGAGGATTTTAAGATTGTTGTGAAAATTTCGAGTCTTGATCATTTAATTGCTTTTGTTGTCATGCTCCCAACCACAAGTTCATTAGCGCGATGTAAACCATGGGACGCACTGAGTGAAGCGCGTTGTGTAGCTCAAGTGCTAAAAGTAGATCATTTAATACGGAGATCGTAAGAGATGCTGAGGTTCTATGTCTCAATGCGGGAGAGGAAGGTGCTGCTTGTATTCCTACCGGAGCTCCACCATCCATTCCGGTAGTAGGAGAACCAGGTGAATTGTAACTGGGCGTTCATGGTTGAAATTGTTTTAAGCACTGAATTGATTGTTTTCTTTACTACTACAGTTGTTTGAAACTTTCGAGATAGTTGCTTGGGACACGGTGGTTTGTGAAATAAGCTGAATGTTAAAAATTATGTTAGTTTTCAAGCTGTCATGATTGTTGTTTGAAATATGACGAGAAGACGGGTGATAATAGCAATATGCGCTGAGAATTGGCTAAGATTCTGACATGCAAACCGGCTATTGCTGAAGAGATTGGCGAAGAGTTTTTGAGGCAAAAAGTTTTTGAGAGAGAGAGAGAGGGAGGGAGGGAGGTGAAGGTGCGGATGAGTCAGTCGCGTAGGAACACAGTAATGATTTTAAATATGGGCACGACTACCCATTATAAATCCGACTCCTCTGTGGCAAAAATTATGTTAGTTTTCAACCCTAAGCCGCTTGTGGGGTGAGGATTACTTGCCAACTTTAGGGGTATGGCTATCTAATACATTCCCTTATCTTATCATAAGTGCTAAAAGTAGATCATGGGATGCAGATTCATGTCATTTTTTTTTTACAACTTACCTACAAGAAAAAGAAAATTCTTCCACATCTATTGTTTATTTCTTGAGGATTTTAAGATTGTTGTGAAAATTTCGAGTCTTGATCATTTAATTGCTTTTGTTGTCATGCTCCCAACCACAAGTTCATTAGCGCGATGTAAACCATGGGATGCACTGAGTGAAGCGCGTTGTGTAGCTCAAGTGCTAAAAGTAGATCATTTAATACGGATTCATGTGTTTTTTAAACAATTTACCTAAAAATAAAAACTCTTCCACATCCACCTTTTATTTCTTGATAATTTTTTAACTTTGTATCTACCTTTTCTTGAGAATTTTAAGATCATTCTTAAAATTGTGTTGTTTGACTCAAATAATTGCCAAAATTAACCAACCAATGCTACGCTTAAACCTCACGAACCATCATTTAAATCCTCTATCCTCAAGGTGGCTCCCATAGGCTTATAATGCAACACTTACGCCTCGTTTGGTACGCGGGAACAGAGTCAAGTGAGAATAAAAAAAAGGTGGGAATGGAATGAAATAGATGTGGAAATGAAATGCTAATTCTCATTATCATGTTTGGGCGAGTTTAGAGAATGAAACAGCAATAGCAATCTTATTCTCATTCCCACATTTGGTATCATTTATTCACAACTGAGAACAAAATTTAGTTTTCTAATAATGCACTTACCAAAACACAGAATTTTAAAATCATTAAAATAATTTAAAAATGACTAAATCATTCATTTTTTGAGAAAAATAAGTTTTATAGAAATAATATTTTTTTCACTCTCCTAGTAATTGCTAAACATTGTGTTTTATTAGTTATTGAAATAAGCTTGCAGTAACCAATTCATTCTTAAGAGGATATTTGTTCAACATTTTGCTAAGCATTCAGTAATTAGCCAGTGACGATTTATAAAGAAATTTGAAGAATTGTTTGTCTCGTGAACATGTTTTGCGCGTTTGGAACTTATGAAGTTGTCTCAAGATGAGATTTATTAAAAATTTTGCTAATCATTCAATAATTAGCTAGAGATGCTCTATCGACAAAATTGAAGAAGAGATTTATTAAAAATTTTGCTAATCATTCAATAATTAGCTAGAGATGCTCTATCGACAAAATTGAAGAATTGTTTCCAAGTAATCTCATTCAATAATTAGCTAGAGATGCTCTATCGACAAAATTGAAGAATTGTTTCCAAGTAATCTAACACCAAACACCAAAGATTAAATATTAGCTAACCTAATCGCCAATAAATTACAAAATAAAGTTAAGTCCTAGGAGATAGCTAATATACTTGTGAACAAAGCCCTCGGTCTAATTAAATTTACAAGAGTTTTTTTTTTTTAATTCACATCTTAAATTTTCTCAAAGCATGCACAACTTGATTTGTCCCTTCAGATTACGTACAACTAATTTCAGGAGGGCATCAACTTAAAAAGTTTCGTTGGATAAAAGGATTAGTTTACTTTTAACCCTCTCAGAAAAACAGATTGACCGTTTTACTTTTCCAAAAAGTAAAACTAGATGCGCGAAATCATTCTCGCAAAAACCTGAACGAGGAGGAGGAAAACATTGCATGCTTAAGTGCCACTCTGCTCAGACTGCTACGACACGCTAGAAAATTGTGCCTCGGTCAAAAGTCTGCAGTAAGACCACATGATGCTAAAACAAGCAAAAGCGAAGGCAGTAACTTTTGGTTCCGGTAAATTTATGAAGACTTCAGGTAATATCTGCCCAAATCGAACAATGCTTTATATCCAGCAACAAAAGCACCCAAATTACATGGAACTCAAAACCAATCAAGAAAAGCTCTAATGTCAATCTTTTACAGAACTTCTATCAAATGCGCTCTATCAGACATTACACTAGAAAATAATAATTACAACAAGTACAACAACAGCAGCTGCAACAAAGATTCCCATCAAAACACCTTCAATCTCTCTCTATATCCTACCACTGCAAGTTAGAGATCAGGTGCTGATTGGATTCACAAAATTTGTGGGCATCTGAAACAACCTGCAGATAATTTAACCTATCAGCTAAAATTCCTATAGCTTTCAACCCTAACTCGAGCATAATATACACATCTAACATGGCTAAATTACCAAACTGATTTTTGATTGGACATGCATTATGATTCAGTGTTTTTTTGTTTCTCTGGAAACATTAAGATATTAATACCGAACTGCTGCTGCAACAAGGGATGATGCGCCTGGCTGGCAAATAACTTAGCGCGGAAGCGTCATTAAGTCACTGCCACATAAGCATTTGAAAGGGGCCACACGAAGGTCACGCAATGCTTTTGTGCCAGATTCCTCACCAGCGCCAGCGATTCATCTCTAACTGCCACAGAAACTCAGCAATAATAACTCAATCTTGTCGGAAAAACTGAAAATACCAAATTGAAAAATGTGTCCCACTAATACTTGATTTGGTAGTTTGCGCATCTAACATCCTTCACCAATAAAACTAGGGGCATTAACTACCCCACATCATCTTTCTCATCTATTATCCACTTCAACCTGTGATCCTCCTATGCAAGAAGGTTTTCCTTCCATCTCAATTGCTTCTTTTGTCTTGTCATTGTTCTTCAATAGCTCATCATACAATTTTAAACAATCCTTTGAGAACTCTGTGAGTGACTCAAAAACACGAGTCAAGTCACCCCTGAACCCATCGAGAGTGACCCGTTGAGTCTCCTTCACACATTCGTGGTGCTTAAGTTTCTCTGCATCCAGCTTTTTTCTGAACAAATCAAGCAATTCCTTTCTCCCTGTTAAATACTCCATTCGATCCCTTACATCCGGTTCAGGCTTGAGATCAGAGAGCTTTGATTCAAGAACTTTACTTTCTGCTTTCTGAAAGGCAAGAACTCTTTTGTCGAGTTCCCTTGCAAGGCTATCTACTTTTCTCTTCTGCTGCTGCTCTTCCCCTTGCCTAACCCACAGAACCCTAATGTCCTTAATGAAGCCTTTCATGGCCAAAGCCACAGCCTTATCTGGAAGTTTCTTGGTTGAGTTTGCCCAGTCATGGCACATAATTACGAGTGGAGGTGTTTCTAGTCTATTATATGATGGAGATGAAGACCTACATCGAGAATAGTATTCTACATCAGGAACGAAGAATTTGGACAGCCATCCATCGAGGGCTTCAACGTATTCTCTTTGAGCTGCGACATAGGCCATGAAGGATGACCTCCAGCGCTTAAGCTCACCCTCCAACGTCACAGTCACTTGCCTCTGTGAATCACTGCAGAATTTTCCATAGGCGGGGCATGAGAAAGATTTCACTTCAGACATAATTTGTTTTTGGGTTTCATGCGATTCGAGCATTATCTTCCAGGTTCTCAATAGACTACAAAAGATGCACCCAGATTAGTGCTTGTATAAGAAAAATTGATGGGAAGTATTTGACAGATAGAAGATGATTATTGGTTTACCCTTGTAGCAGCTCAATGAGCTGAGGATGCAGTTCTTCGTCTCTTACTTTCTGTATTCTGGTTGATATTGTTTCTACGGACCGCAAGGCTACCCAGATTCTGGTGTACAAATCTCTGACTGCAGCCCTAATTTTGTCCACCGAGTGCGAATCGGTTCCCTTGGAGTCCTGTTGGTTTCTCAGCTGTAAGCACTTTTTCTCATAAGCTTGCCGTGTATTTTCTCCAGCCTAAAAAGAATGGGAGGTTATTCAAACAAGATTAGTAAGGTTAGAATGATCCATGACTAAACGAACAACAAATTGCTTGTCCCATAATTGGTCGCTCATTGATGTGGGCTAGATCTTGAACCAAAAACCTAGAAGACTAAAGATGGCTTCCTTGATTTTTCAAAATTCAAGCGCACTACTTAAGGCTCCAAGCAAGGATTTCCAAAGAGGTCACCCATCATAGTACTAATTCTGTATGAGGACACTTAACTGTTTCTTTCTTTCTTTCTTTCTTTTTTCTTTTTCATTGTTTTTTTTTGTTCTTTTTTTTTTTTGGTTGGTGACAAAAGACACTTGACTATAGTATAGGGTTTCAAAGTAAGATTTTCTCCCTCAAAAGCTAGCTGTAAAATTCCTGAGTTCACTTGAACTATTGTTTATAAGACACTTCTCTAGCACAAACCAAATGCATGGTATTATTTGCTTCCTAGTGTCCAGACATAATTCTCATGGTTAATTTGGAGCCCTCACCAAAACAACATCAAGAAGGAGATGCCAGAGTTTAGAGGTACTTCTAACTAGTGCTTTCGTCAAACGTTACTCTCCTAGTACTACTCTTGTCCGAGCATGCACATTTAAGGAGATTTAACTGTACACCTTTCTAGCTGGAATCTAATAATGCAAAATTCACCTTATGACTTACAATAACTCTAGCCAACCCATAGTTACACAGTGCATTGTACATAGTAGGTCGTGGTACAAATTCTAGTATGCGATATGCCACTTAGAACATTGGCATTCGTGCTATGTAGCTTGCTTCGACATGCAAGTTCGGTCAGTGGTACGTTGTTAAACTTTTTTGGGTACACTTACCATTTTTTATAGTATATAGCAGAAAACTAGAAACTAGAAAGCTAATTGTGCTTTTCAATATATTTCCATTCAAAATCCTTAAGTGCTTCTTTTTTATGGAGGTAGGTTTTTGCTTCAGTTTTTCTTTTCACATAGTTCATGTTGGGATCATGGTTTCATTTCACGTTTTATTAACAAGTGTATTTAGTTACAAAAAAGTCATTGAATCATATATTCTAGTGTGTCTCCCTTCACTAGATTGTGAATAGTGCATTGTGTTTTGCACATGTGCACTTTAAAGGGACTTCGCACCCCCACATACTTGTAAGTGCTACGTCAACTTTGGGGAATCAATTCGTGTATATGAGGGAATCGGTTCATAAATGTACTTGGACTCGGTTCGTAGGAATTGTACGATGGTTGGAGGTCCAAGAAATCACGCAACTATGAGCCAACACAGCTGATGAGGAATGCCTTGGCAGAGCCAGAGAGGTCAAGTGTGGTCATGTGACCCCCCTGCCATCATACTCATGAGCATATATATGTTTTTGGGTGCTTTACGTATTTGCTGTGAAGGACTCCCAGCTTGATGTGGCTGGGACCACATGGGAACGGGTTTTCATTTGGGTGATTATATATTGGGGTGAAAGAATTGTAGAATGATGTGGTGGGGACCACATGAAACATGTTTTTCAAGCCAATTTAAATTAAAAGAGAGGTTTGCGAAAAAGTTAGAAGAGATTTAATATAGTCATTGGAGCAAATGCAAACCAATGGCAATATCCATTACGAATTAATTTATTTATTTTTTAAATATCAAATGTTAGTGCTAGGGATCCAAAGGAAACTAATAGAATAACTTTGTGCTAAAATATTATAATTAGTGTCATTGTCTATTTTTGCCATAGTGTTGAGAGATTATTTTTATGAATATCGTGAAAAGTAAATTGCATGACATACATGAGATCGATGGATGAATGATTTCTTGGTAACATATACTGACTCAGATGTTTTTGATACAATTAATAATAATTTAGCTATGCAACTATATCAAAAAATGGTAAATCATCACGGTAGTTTGCAAATTTCATTTTCAAGCCTGATGTCATTACTTTTTAGGAGCTAGCTGTATTAATTTGACCACAGCGAGGATTACTCTTTTAGTATTTTTTAAGAGAAAATACCCCCCCCCCCCAACAAAAAAAAAACCAAAGTCCATTTCCTGGCTCCACCACTGGAGGAATGTATCAAGAAATTCATCTAGAATTCTTCTCTTACTTTCACATCTTCTCCAAGCATTTATTTTTAATAAAAAACATTCAGCTTTACAGATTGGATTATGATTTAATTAAAATTTACCGTGGTTGCATGCCATGTTCGCTTACATAAACAAGTAACAGCTCCACTATCATCTAACTAAAAGTCATTTAGGAGCAATTAATAATAACAAATTACCTTAACTTCTTCATAGAGCTTTTTCTCCCAGGCATATAACCTTCCTAGCGTCTGTGTATGACTTCCTGATTCCATTCCACCGAAATCGTCAAAGAGGTCACTCTTGCTTTCAACAGATGAAGTGTCTTTAGAGCTTGAGCTTGAGGCAATATAACTTCTTCTGGATGAAGATTGAGACGAAGGTGACCGATGCCATGTGATAGCTTGAATGATTTTAGATGAATTTTCTGCATTAAAAATAGATTACCAACCACAAAGTACCTCATTATGCAAACAAGCATTCGGACTAAATCATATTATAAACCAAAAAGTCTCCATCAAATTAAACATATATATATATATATATATATATTATATATACTATATATATATATAGTATATACTATATATATGAGCGGTTAATGGGTTTGTCCTATGTCAACGAAGGGGATTATCCTCCTTGAAAATGATGTGGCAACAATCCCTCACCATCCGTAATAAGTAGCTGAGAGCAGAATATCACCATGCGGTGACAGTTGTGCACATTCATTTTCCAGCAGGAAATCCCCTCCTATGACCAAGGAATACACCAATTATTCTCTCTCATATTATATATCATAGAGAGAGAGGAAAAAAAAAACTATGTCAACTTAATGTGGACGTTCCACTAAGTTTCTTAGTCATTGATGATCCACTTGATTGAGCTACATTGTGGATGATCGCTCCGCTTGACTGATCTACATATTCTACAAACGCCGAACACACCAAATTTGGGTCTGTGACTGGAATCTGTCCGTGGCTTTGACCCCTCCGTCGAGGCCATGTTTAAAAAAGTTCTATTCATCTCCGAAACCTGTTTTAAAATAATACGAGTCGGGCGGGCATGAAGGGTCAAACCACCAACGCGTTCACCCCAAATTTGGTGTGGGGGTTTTAGATATCTAGAATCAAGTTCTAACCGGAGCGGAATCATCCCACAAGTAATGCTAAATCAAGTGATCAATCACCAGGATTAAGAAACTTACGTGAACGTGCCACTTAATTGACATACAGTTCTCTCTCTCTTCCTCTAGCTCTCTCTCTCTATATATATATATATATATATATCATATATATATAATATTAATATATATATATATATATATATATATATATATAGTATATATATTCCATGTGGCTATGCTACAAGCTCAAATTCGGCCTAAGCTAGCTCATTTCTTCTGTACACTGGAAAAAACTTACAGGCAGAACCAGTGTGAGAAACTAGAATACAAATTAGAGAAGCCCATTATTCCTGACAACAGCAAATGGGGACTCATTGGCCCAAAAAAAAACTTAAAAAGTGAGTTAATTTTTTAACAAAATGAAACCAAAAAAAAAAAGTGAGGTGGCAGGTGGCGAGGTGGCGGTGGGGGGGGGGACACTAGTAGCGACCCATAAGCTGTTTATCCCAGTCAAGTACAATACAAAGAAGATTAGGGCCTACCAAAGAATGAATTTCCCTTAAAACCCCAAAAAGCAAACAACTTTATATACAAGTAAAAAATCAACAATCTCTAGCTCAAGTCAATTCAAAGCATCTCCTGAACCAATTCAAAGCTCAATCATAAAAAGACACATAAAACTCATGCTAAAAACCAAACAACAAAAGTTGGCAACTTTGAACAACAAAATCTAAAAACAACCCACCTTTAACCTCAGAAAGATCACAGCTTTGATCAACCCAATTGATCTCCAGCATCTTAGAAACCTCCTTCCCACAATCATAAGCCCTAATGAACTGATCCTCGACGTCCCTCAACGCATCAAGAAGCTCCCTTTGTTTCTCCGGCGGCTCGGTCACCGTCAACCTCCTTTCTTTACGCTCCTCCGCCTCCTCTTTCGCCTTTGCAACCTCAATACCACTCACAATGTTGGTCCTCTGGTGATCTCTCAGCTCATCTTCAGCTTCTTCGAGCTCTGGGATCCCTTCCTTCTCTCTAACAACCCTCAGATCCTCGTCGGAGCTTCGACAGAGACCCGCGAGCATGCTCGCCTCTTCGGCAGCCCTAACTCCATCAAAAGGGTTAAAAAAATCCCACCCAAAATCCTTCACAGGAGAAGGGGGCATTTGGCTCATCCCAGAGTAAAAGTACCCACATCTCATCTCCTCACCGTTTTTTTCGTCGGAGACTGAGGAGGAGGAGGAGGAGGAGGAGGAGAAAGCGGGTAAAGATTCAATCTTTGCGTTCTCCAGTTGTGGGGTTCTTCGAAGACCGGCTTGGAGGCGGCCCGGCGGTGGCTGCGCTGTGGGACGGCGGCAGGAGGGGAGGGGGCCAACTGCAGGGCGGGCCGTCTGGGAGACGAGTGCAACCGCGCGACGATGAAAGGTTCGCACGGCGCCGCGCGAAGCGGCAGAGCAGAGCAGGGACCGTACCGCTTTGTGAGGCCTCCGAGGGGTCGCGGCGGGGCGCGGTCGACGCGGCGACTTGAGCGCAGGCGCTTTCCGCTCGTGGCAGAGGGCCACCGCGTCCTCGTGGAACGTCGCCGCCGCCGGCGCGATGAGCTTCGAGGCCGTACAGTTCCCCATTATTTTATTTTGAGAGTGGGGTTCAGAGTGTAAGGGTTTGGGGTTTTTGTCTTGGAGTTGTAGAGGGAGATAAAGATGGGGTTTTTGGCTTGTTGGGGCTTGGAATGCTGAATTGGACTGATGCTTGACTGTGGTCGTGGGAGGGGGATGGAATAAACAAAGGAATTTGTTTTATTTTAGGGGAAAATTACTTCGGACCCCCTACGTTCTGAAAACAGAGAGTTGTCCCTCAAAATGACGGTTGTTTTGTTTTAGGGGAAAATTACTTCGACCACCCTACGTTCTGAGAAGAAAAAAAAGAATATATTTAACCCTATGCACTATTATTCCATTAGTTAAACCCCGCTTGTTCCCACCATTATTTTTGATTAATCCTAACATACCCTCAAAACGACAGTAGTTTCTATCTCTTTCTTCAAGAGCTCTCCAACCTCCGGACCTCTAGCCAGTAGACACCCAAACATACTTGCACCTCCAACAACTGTATAGATTACATTTCCTTGGCACTAAATCAGCGTTATCCGCCTATAGGCAATCTTCGAACAACGACCGAAAGTTATGGCTCGAGAGATCCTAGGAAGTGCCAAAGCTTAACTTGTTCAGTTAGTCATTAGTGAAAAAATAATTTATAATTGAAAGCTTAGACTTAGATAGCTCTATTACTTGTGAAACTATGAATATTTGCTTAAAGATATTCTAATTTTAATGTAGTAGTTGTTGCATGATTAACTTATGTCAATATTTAAAAATGGAACCACTGCAATTGGGAAAAGGCAAGCGATGTTTTCATATTGAAAACTGAGGTCTTTTCATTATTTCTAGATTTTTTTCATCGTATGATATCTTTATATTAAAAAATTATTATTATCCCAAATTTTGGGGCTTTCAAAGAAGGAGATGGAATTTGTATCATTTTAGCGGTATTTTAGGATTAATCCAAAATAGTGGGGAGAACAAGGGCTTTTGACAAAGAAAGTAAAGGTCCAGGGAGTTAATGCGATTTACTTTTTCTTTTTCTTTTTCTTGAGGCAGAGCCGTTGTTTTTTAAATGTAAGGGGTTATAGGTAATATTCCGTTTATTTTATGGATACTTAGAGAGGGACCCCCAGAATTTTTACGTATTGTATTGTATTATATTCTGACCTCATGATACTTTTCGGTCAGAGAAAAATTCTGAGGGGTCCTTTTCTTACATTTTATTTACTAGTATTTAGACCCGTGCACAGCACAGTTTCTAAAAAATTTTCTATAAATATTAAACATGTTATCAAAATAAAGTATTCTTCTTTAGATAAGAAGTATAGTGATGGAAGTGAACAGAATAATTAATAAGCCGTTCAGTTACTATTTGTAAGATATTCGATCAAGTTCGATTTTATAGTTCATTTAGTACTAAACAAATAATTTTCATCAAGTTCGATTCGATAGTTCGATCAAGTTCGATTTTATAGTTCATTTAGTACTAAACAAATAATTTTCATCAAGTTCGATTCGATAGTTCATTTATGAATTATCCATCTGTTTGGTAGGTACTAAACAAATAATTTTCATCAAGTTCGATTCGATAGTTCATTTATGAATTATCCATCTGTTTGGTAGATTGTAGAAAATTAATAATAACATGGTAAAGGGAGAAGTAAATATAGAAAAAATCACCAACCTTGCCAGTTCCAGAAACACCATGAATATAAAGGCAGCGCCCAAGACATTGTTCGCCACAAATGGCCCCTTTGATGAATGAAGTTATCTCATCCATTTCTCTGGGACATAAGCTCATGATTTTATAAAATTGACTGACAAACATGCAATGAACCGGAAAATATCTAAGCAAGTAGTACGTACTTATTTCTACGAGGCAAGGATTTAGGCAATGTTGCCAGTAGCAGTGTTGCCTTTGCCTTTTCCAATTCAGTTTGATTATGGCGACGTACATGCTCCGGGATCTTCTTTATTCCTATCTTGTGAATGCCAAATGCTCTTCCCTTGCGTGAGTTCTGGAAAAAATATATAAAATGCAGTACTATAAACTCAACTAACAATAAAAAGTTGTTCAGCCTAGACTAAGAAGCATACTAGAACCAGCTCCTGAGTTGGATGCTTGCGAGAAGTAGATTCCGCAGCTACATCTTCTTCATTTTCTGAATTGTCATATGTTTCACAACCTGTATCCTTGGAAATTTTCAATTCCTCATCTTTCTCAGTTCTTCCGTTATTCTAAATGTAAGCCAATAAGAACAATTGAACTTCAGATTTGATAGGAAACATCTTCTTCCAAAAGTTTATTAAGTTCCTTATTTAGTAAGAACACATACCTCCTCTTCATCATCATCATCATTAATATCTGCAATACGCTTGAAACTGTGCTAATGAACATCATACTCATATTCACAATAAAATACATCATCTCCCTCATTGTTGGCTTCAAAGAACTCCTTCGGGTTCAAAACAGAACAGTGCCTAATAACTGATTCCATCTGATGCAGAATAAGGAATCAAGTTATGTAAACATGGGATATTATGCATTATGTGTTTTATCCACATGTGTGTCAAGTTCTTCTAAAGTAGCAAATTAAAAGTAAATAGAAAGAAAAATCTATGCACGTTAGGTGGACATAGTAAAAGGCTCAATAAAATTGTTTCTAACTAAATATATGACCCCATAACGGTTAATTTAGTAGTTGTGAATCTACACATTGACAACTATTCAAGTTCGATCATACCGACCAATGTTTCTTGTTAAAATCTTTTAGTTAAAATAATTCACTATGTCAGAAAGAGTATCAAATATTTATATACTAATTAGGCTAATTTCAACTTGACCCTTGAATTAGCTACAACAAAAAAAAAAACGTTCAGCAAGTATTTGCAAATCCTAGAATACAATAATTAACAGTTTTTTTGGTTGATATGCTCTTGAATTTCATCGTTTGTGCAGAAAAATCAAAAAAATTCTCATTGGTCATAGTCATTTGAGTTATTGTGAATTGATTGATATATCGAGGAAGAACCATCATCATGATAGAGATTATTGTCATCAATTAGTCCAAAACCAATGCAAATATTAGTACATTGAAATTGGCTAATCAATTCAAAAGAAACACGAACCACTACCAAACTCCATTTATGATCAGAATGTGAAATTTTTTATAAAAATAAAAGATAAATGGAAAATTTCACCTCAATGTCACTCGACTGATTTGTGCGGAAAAGTTTTCTTCGTAAGTTATGAGATTGCCTCCTAACCACAGTCTCCTCTGGAATCATATACCAATGACATCTCATCTAGAAGCTCCCATCAGGTTCTTTCCATAACCTAAAAGCAGCCAAGCAGCCCAAAACATGAATAAAAAAAATATTTCATATTGTTAATTATTCAACTGAATCACATCTAACTCTTATATTATATTTCCATGATCCACTTATTTTTATTAAAAAAATCCAAAGCATTGCACAGAGAACAAAAAGGTCCACAAAATAACAATTCACAATAACTCCAAGTTCAACATAATTTCATAGTCACTCTATAAAATCTCAGATATATAACTCTATCTACTTAGATCTTGTTCTGCTCATCTTCAACAAATAAGTCTAGAGGTAGTCTCAACATCACAAAGAAGCTAATTACCACACCAAACAACTTATGTACAAAAAGTTAAATAGCAAGAGTAGACTACAAGTGATTCCGTGAATGGTAAAGTGAGCCATGTCAAGATAATTTAATTAAAAAGTGAGTCATGATCTGCTGCAGTCTGCTACTCTAACTACACATAAAACTAATACATTATAGCAAAGCAAATTAAAAAGATAGTCTTGTGAATTTATCCTAGATTTTGAAATAATTTATACCAATTTCACTTCTAAGGCTTTCTTGACATGAATAATCGTCTCTAATCCAGGTAGAGAATGATAGAAATTGCATGTTTCTAGCATTAATTATAAAATAACACTCTTAGTCCAAATTAGTACACTATTCAAAAGTCAATAACAAAACTCTGTATAAATAATCAAAAAATTAGAAACACTTACATAGGTTTCCTCCAATACATCAAAAAATCACCATAAAGTTGACGTTAGAAGCAAGTATTTCAAGGACCTTGATGTAGGAGCATTGATATCTAAAACCCAGCAAAATCAAAATATATTTCTAAAGAATGTAAATTTCCAATAATGGTATTAAAAAATGGCATTTGAAGACAAATATATATCTTGAGACCTCAGAAGCTTTCTAAAAAAAGAAAACGTAAATATGGAAAAATCAGATCTATCCAACATATTGCATAGGCAATTTCAGAACATTGTAAAAGAAATATAAAGCCCTAAAAAATAAACTGCAACATCAATTAGAAAAGAAAATGAGCTTGTAATGTTGATGTTGTTGTTGCTGCTTCTTCTTCCTCTCTTCTTCAAACCCTAGCCTTAATTCTGATATTCTCTTCTCCTTCCTCCTCCTTGGGCTCAAAAAATCTCACCTTTTTACTGTAGTAGAGGCGGGTGAAGAAAGCGATTCAAAGAAATGATCGAGGGGTGTTTCGGGTCGATGCGCCTGTGATGGGATAGCCGGGGTGAGAGAGGCTGTGGATGGCAGACAATGGCGGGGGCGGTTTTTATGATCGCTTTGATTTGGGCTTTGGCCGAGGGGCGTCCGGTAAAAGAGTCCCAAGCAGCCGGAACATGAATGGGTTAGAGGGGGAAGGAGGGGAGATGGTGTTTTTTTTTCGGACAGAGCTGGTGGGTGGTCCCCATCAAGATGAGGCCGGTCTTTTGGAAAGGAGCCAGCGGGGGGGTTTTTTTTTGTGGATTGGGTTGGGAGGAAGGGGGAGGAGGAGATGGGAGAGAGGGCAGAAGAAGAAGAAGCAGAGAAAGGACCATTCGATCTGACGGGGAGAGAGGGTTTTTTCTGAATTGTGAAGAGAAAACGAAAGGGGTGAAAGTTTTGATAAAGTGGAAGAGAAACAATTGGCTGAAACTGAAACCGCAGGCTTGAAAAAAAGTAGTTTGGA